TTATCATAGGTTAGGCTTTCATCATCTCTCTCACACAGACTGTTAACAGCCTTTCTGTCTTCCTAAATCTGTCAACACCCAGCCACAGTAAACTTTTTCAAAATGTACACATGGGTCACTTTTCTGCTTAAAACTGCAGGGAATTTCCATTATCTTTAGTCTGCAGATAAAATCTTAGAGGCATATTCATCACACCCTTGTTCTGCCTTGCTCATTATTATATTCCCAAGGCCTAGTAGCACAATGCTTTTAAATTGTATATTTTAATGGATGGACAGAGGAAGGAATGTATAAAAGAACCAAATAAATAACTGAGAAAAATTTCCATTTTAAATAAATAACTGAGAAACAAATAAAATAACTGAGAACCAAATAAATAACTGAGAATAACTGTCCCTGTATTTCCTTAGTGTAAGGCTGCATGCAAGTATACATACACATTTATGGAGGTTGCAAATGAAGTAACTGTTACTGAGTAAAATGTTTATCTTTGATAACTTCTCTTTGCTGTCTTTGCACATCCCCTCTTCATCCTCATCCCATCATTCTCCCCCATCCCTCTTTGCACCATTTTATTTCTCTGAAGTTGCTGAGTTACAGATCAAGAAACATCCTCTGTTTTCTTCTACCCATGTAATTAGTGAAGGCTAACTATTTGAAATTCATGTGGTGACTCTTCCTATAAACAGATTATTTGGTATGCATGATAGCAAAGTGAAGCATCTCTGTGGGGGTACTGCAAAACAGCTAGTTGTCCTCCCAGTGGAGAATCACATCCACCACTTCTTAAATTAGGTCCCAGTTGATGAGACACAAAGCTGCAAGGGTCAGCCACACAGTACTTGAGAACCTCAAGAGTTTCATTAGTGAATAGTCTTGCTCTGCTGTTCACAGAGAATGCCAAGGCCTTAAGAGAGTAGAGGAAGACTAGATAATAGTATGATAGACACATGGCCTAGTAAATGGGAGTTGGGGAGTGTTTCCATGTGAGTCAGGTGTTTCTGGTCTCATTTTGTAATGTCACGTCCATGCATGAGTTGGCCCTCAGAGGTTGGGAGTTACCACCACTCCTATAATTTTTGTATTTTTCAAAGAAAACTAAGAATGAAGAACACGGCCTTTTAAAGACAGGGCTCTGCTTATTAGTGTTCACTAAGGAGCTGTGGCATAGTAATCATTTAGTAATAATTTATATGTGTTTGGAATTTCTGAGGCGCTTTTTGGAAGATCTCAGTTGATCTTACCATCAGCCTGCAAGTTTAGTTAGGCTGATTTCATAAGTGATGAACCAGAGCTGGATGAAGCCCAGTAGAGGTCCTGTAGCCAATTAAGGACTTGAACTCAGGACTCCATTGCTTCTTTCATCACCCTATTACATCTAGTCCCAGTTAAGAAATTTGTGTTGATCTTACAAACTTCTTGAGCTGATAGGGGTAAAGCTTTGAGATGCACAAATACAGGGTGTCTTACAGGTATAAAACATCAACCAGAAGAAAAAAATGCCTATAAAGGAATAAAAAGACTGTAGAGTACAATAGTTTCTCTTAGAGAAGTTACAGATTTTAAAGTTCAGTATTATTAAAAGTCATTAATTCCTGGGGACAGTGTTTCTACTGGTTTAATGCTATTGTCTATGCATTTTTCGCTGTACATATACACACATGCCTTTACCCGTCTTCCTAGTATCTTTTGCTGTTTTCATTGCAGGTATAATAGTCACCAAAAGAGTCAACAGCCCTACAGTACAAATGACCTTGTTTCCTTGGGAAGAAAAGTTACAATAAAACCACCTGCTTTCTTTTTTTAACCTTGGTTTTGTGTGTATGTGTGTATTCTAAGTATTTGAATGATTTTGTTGTTTTCTGACCATTTACATTGTATACACATGGGACCCCAGAGTGTAACAGGCAAATTACAGTTTTATGGATTGGAGTATTCCTAAGTAGATACATGGATCTTTTGATCTCCTGTATTGTAGGGGGTTGAGAGAGATCACTGTGTTTGTTACACTTCTAGAGGACATCATTAACTCCCATCCTAGTCTCTCTTGCTCTTCCTCTGAAAGCTTTAAGCCACTGAAACCATGGGCGTGAGAAGGTATCTCTCTGGTTTATCTTCTTCAGGTATGAAAGCTAAGCTTCAGCTCAAACACAACAGTGGAAAGACATGCAGATAGCTGTAAACAGGTCTCTCAGAGCTCCCAAATAGGCACAGTTCTAAACACTTTACATTTATTAGCTTATTGAATCCTCAGTGCAGAACTGTGAAGTAAATACAGTTATTCCTATTTAGAATTATGCTGAATGTCAGCTCCTATCTGTGTGTCCTTCTGCAAGTTACTTAAAATTTCTTTATTTCAGTTTCCTTATCTATAAAACAGGGATAATGGTAACTTCCTCACTCCTTCTTTGTGTTGTGAAGATTAAATGAAGTAATCCACATAAAGCACATAAATGTGCATATCTGGCTGGCACAGAGTGAAGCCTTGTAGGTGTTAGCTATTGTTATCTAACTAGTTTATGATTACAAGGCAAAAGAGATCTCTTCCACAAGAATCAGAAATTTGGTCCTTGCTGTGCTGGTATGTAGTTATATGATTGTGGCTAAATTTTCCTCTTTCTGGGCCTCAGTTTTCTTATACCCGTTTTTAAAAACCTTGTTTGGAATAAGTGAGACAAAAATAAAAAGAGTTCAGATGTAATACCAAAAGCCTAGTCAACAAAAGACAAAATAGAATTGGACCTCATTAAAATTTAAGTTTTGTATATCAAAGGACACCATTAACAGAATAAAAGGGCAACCCCCAGAATGGGAGAAAATACTTGGAAATTGTGTTTCTGATAAGGGATTAATATCTAGAATATATATAAAGAACTACAGCTCAACAACCCAAAAAACCCCAACCAAAAAAAAAAGAGGCAAAAGGCTTGAATAGTCATCTCTCCAAAGATGTATAAATGACCAGTAAACACAGGAAAAAATGCTCAGTATCACTAATCATTAGGGAAATGCAAATCAAAACCACAATGAGATATACTTTACACCCATGAGGATGGCTATTAAAAAAAAATCTGGCAAGGATATGGAGAAATTGGAACCCTACACATTGCTATATAATGGGAACACAAAATGGAAATATAAATTGGGACTATATAATCATGTAGCCCTTGTGGAAAAGCATATGGTAGTTCCTCAAAAAATTAAACAATTACTGTATGATCCAGCAAATTCCACTTCTGGGTATATACCCGAAAGAATCGAAAGAGGAACTCCAACAAAAGATACCTGTACACCAGTGTTTGAAGCATCATTATTCACAATAGCCTAAATGTGGAAGCAATTCAAGTGTCTATTGATGAATGAGTGGATAAAACCAAATGTGTTATATACATAACAATGGAAATACTATTCAGCCTTAGAAAAAGGAGGGAAATACTGACATGTTAAAATATGTGTGAACCTTAAAAGACATGTAATGGAAATAAGCTAAAGGTAAAAGAGTAAATATTCTATGATTCCTTATGATAACTAGAATCAAACTCAGACAAAAAATTGATGGCTATAAGAACTTGGGGGAAGGAAGAAGCTGGAGTTTAATGGGTATGGATTTCAGTATAGGATAGTACAAATTTTGGGGGTGGAAGGTGTAGTGATTGCAAAAGACTCTGAAAGTATTAATGCCACTGAATTTTATGCTTAAACATTGTTAAATTGGGAAATCGTATGTATATTTTAACACAATTAAAAAGTTTGAACCAAAAAAATAGTACAAAAACATCTGTATCCCCTTCACCCAGATTTCCCTATTGTAATATCTTAGCCCATTTACTTTATTGTATTTAAGTGTACTCTTACATACACCTAATCTACCATCTAAATTGCAGTTTTGTCATTTGAATCTGATGGTATTGTTTTTTTTATAGCATTGCGCTCCACCTTGGGTACAGAGTACACTCTAAGGTGGTGCATTGTATTTAGTTGTCATGTCTCTTTAGCCTTTCTCTGTCTTGTATCATATTGACATTTTTGAACAGCACATTATCTTTCCACCCTTCCCCTCCCTTTTTAATAGAAGCTTCCTTGTTTTCTGTTTGTCCAGTGTTTCTTGTAATTAGATTGAGGTTACACAGTCTTGACCTGAAAACTGCATAGATGATGTGTCCTCCTAAGGTTATGACATCTAGAGAGTCAATACATATTTAATTAAATGCAGAGTAAAGGGAATCAACAAATTGTTGCAATAATCACAGAGAATGGAAATAAAGAGTGGAATGGTCAGAAAACTTAGTTTACCAATTTGGTAGAAAGCATATTTCTAAAATTCATCAAATATCTCTTGTCAAATTTCACATTAGTTCAGCCAATATATATTACTGTCTTCAACTAGTTTCCGTTAAGCTTTTCCTTGTATTAAATAAATCGAGGAAATAACTGGTTTTTTAAAAAAATTTAGTGAAATCAAGTATGTCAAGTGATCAAGGGTCTAATGTTTATTATTACATAGGGTTTTCCCCAAATGATTTGGAGTGATATAAAAATAAGACTCAAACTGATGCTTTGTACTCTCAGCTTTACCACCATTCTAGAGCCTCTTAGTACCCCTCCTTGAGCTGTAGAAAGCTTCTGAAAGGAGAGTACTGTTCCTTCCACTACATCCTGTAGAAGGTATAAACTGTAGTAATGTTGATGTCTCTGTCCTCAATGCCATTTTCCTTCCTTCCAGGCTATCGTAAAAAAGCATCCCAACTTGAGATAACACACTACTTCACAGAATAGAATTGGAGACAATATATGTTTAAGTAGGTTTGTTGGGATTTGGGGTATTTTTTTTTCCATGTTACAGGAAACATTGTAGTTGGCACAGTTGGGATATAGTTCATTGGTTACTAGGCAGGATAGCCAGAGGTATCCTTGAGGCCATTATCATCCTAAAATGATTTTTTTTCTAACCATATGCATTTTAAAAATAATTTCTTGGCTTTTGTGTTTTGTTTCTGCAGTTTGAAGAAAACAGGTCTGAAACAAGTTCTTAACCCCAGCTGCCTGTGAACACAGTGACTGCCAGATCTCCAAACATCAAGTCCAGCTTTGTTCGCCAACCTGTCTGACATGTCGGGACCCGTGCCAAGCAGGGCCAGAGTTTACACAGATGTTAATACACATAGACCCCGAGAGTACTGGGATTACGAGTCACATGTGGTGGAATGGGGGTAATTGTTTACACTTACTTCACTACTCGCCCAAAGGACTGACTGGTGAATTTGCTGAGTAATTTATGTCAGGAAACCTTCCTGACTGCATTTATAAACCTCAGAATTGAAGCCTTATGTGTGTTTTCTTCTGCGAAGTAGGATACTGCTTTAGCAAATTAACTGTTTTGATGGGTCTACCATTTAAAAACCATTTCAGTCTCTTCTTACTGTTTTCTCTGATTTATATATTCTGTATACAAAGCTGGTAACAAAGTTACCTATCTGCTTGCCTCAACTAGGCCTTTGCACTTAAGTGAGAATTAATACTTGAGAGACTTTGAAAGCACCAGACTCTTACATAAAGTATTTTTGAGGTTAGAATGTTGTCCCATGATGATACCTGAAGGATGAACAGTTCTCTAGAAAGGTGTCCTGTTTCTGATAGAAACAAAATTAAACCCTTAAACATTTGCCTTGATCCTGAGGCCAGCCATGTGTAATGTGGAATTCAGCCTAAATCCCTTCTTTAATGCTTGCAGTCTACCTGATCAAGCTGTGTTTGCCCCCTGATTCTCTGTGCAGTCTTACTTGGATGCATTTCTTGTCCCAACCTCTCATGTATTTAATTGATCAGGTCATACTTTTTGTAATAGAAGCATTTTGACATTCAAGTATGAAACAAAGCAGTTTGAAAACTCATAAAGCTATAATTCCCATGGGCCTTATTTTGTATTTTTCCACATGATATGTCCATAGCCTGTAAGTAGTTAAAGATGGTCTCCCTAAATTGTCATAGGGTATATTTTACTCCTGATTGGGCTGTGATTCTAACTGTAAAAACATTGCCTCTACACGAGGAGGCACAGTGTGATCCAAAGATAGCAATCAAAAATCAGTGACACAATATCAGTAAATGTTACCATTATTGTTAATCTAACAACTCCCCTCTCATATCACAAGCTTTGGACTCTTAAGAATACCTGTATATTACTACAGAAATTTCTACCACTCCTCAAATTGAGTGCTTTGCATTTAGTTATTCTGCTTAAATGGCACTAAACAGTCCATTTGAGTTTTTGTTATAGTGCTATTCACTTGCTTGCATTTGTTTCCTGTGAGCTCCCACAGGAGGAGAAACTCAACCAAATGTAAGAACTTCCTTCCCCTAGACCTGCCATGATTATTTTATTGTTCACTGTCCTTAGTATCTTTTGTCTTCTCTGTCATTCACTTTCTTTTTAGCTGGTTGAGGGAAATGAATGGCTTGCTTGTTACATATTGGATTCTCAATGTCTCCAGCAGGAGTAAATAGAATTTAGGCCTTATTAAAAGAACCATGCTTTGTCATTCCATATAACTTAAGTTCTCTAAGTTGTAAGTAGAGGGAGGGAGGAAATTTTGGCATTTCCCTTATTCTTTTCTTTATCTCTGATGTTCCTGAATGGTTATGGAATATGGCAAAAGTAGAGGAAGGGACCCCTAAACGGTTTACGGTCTGTAGTGTGTTTTGCAGACCCCTTCCATGGACTGTCCTCATAGCTTGCCTTGGAGGTCAAGTAGGAGGGTAAGCCTATATGTATAAAAGCCACTTATCTACAAAGAGGCCCAGTAAAAAATCAGCTGCTCCCAAAGTGTTGAATTGAAATTTTACAGTTCACCCTTGAACAACACAAGTTTGAACTACATGGGTCTACTTATATGCAGGCTTTTTTTCAATGAATTTATTGGAAATTTTCAAGATTTGCAGCATGTTGAAAAAACTTCCAAACTGTATAGCCTAGAAATACTGAAAAATTCAAGAAAAAGGTATGTCATGGATGCATAAAATGTATGTAGATACCAGTCTGTTTTTTCATGGATGCATAAAATATATGTAGATACCAGTCTGTTTTTCATTTACTACCATTAAATCAACAGTATGCTGTCAGTTAAGTTTGGGGAAAGTCAGAAGTTACACATGGATTTTTGACTGCAAGGGGTTCAGTGCCTCACCCCCAGGCTGTATTCTTACAATATGTATTGACTTCATGCTAGGTGCCAACACTGGGCTAGGCACTAGGAAGCAGGATTATATAAAAATGACTCTCCAAGGGAAAGCTGTTCTTGTTGAAGACAAACATACATAACAAACCCTAATAGAAGCTAGTTAAGTGTGGTTTGCCAGTAGAGATGTAAACAATTTGGGATTGAAAAAGTAATTGAAAGGTTTGAAGTATTCTAATTCTAGGATTTGGGACACATATACACATATTTTTAATTGGCCCAATTTAAATAATACAAAGAAAACAATTTGGGAATTATTTAAAATACCTCTTCTTTTACTCCTGCTGGTTAGACTTTTATAAGTTGAATTGGTGCTTGACAGTTTGAACTTTTTAAATTATTGTGACTTGACTCTTTCTGTTCATAGAAATCAAGATGACTACCAGCTGGTTCGAAAATTAGGCCGGGGTAAATACAGTGAAGTATTTGAAGCCATCAACATCACAAATAATGAAAAAGTTGTTGTTAAAATTCTCAAGGTTAGTACAAGAAGAGAGAGATCATAATTTCAGAGGCATTTGGAATTCAGATTTCTTAAAGTAATAGTAATGCCTTTTTAAAAGTAGCATTGGAAAGGATTTCTGGGGTGCTAAACACATTTATTTTATTATATCCTCTGGAGTCAATAAAAGAGATTATCTTTATTTGATAGGTAGGAAAATGAAGCAAGAAAAGTGATTTGACTCAAGTACCAGCTAGATTGTGGCAGAGGAAAAAAATAAAGGTTCAGTCTTCTCCCTCCTAAGTCTTGCCTAAATCTGATGTCCTGTATTTTTAGTTGTATTCCATGCTTTTGTTTTCAGTAAATTGTTACCTCTATAAGAATGAGGAGTCACAAATGCAGGGCAGGCGACAGTGTGGTATATCTGATGTATGTACCCATGATTAGGTACGAGTGATGGGTACTATGTTATGTGCTCCAGCTCCAGCTGATTATTGCTCTACATTAGTATAAGTCTAGTTTGCCTGATACTCCTTTATACAGAGAACTGGAAATTTACATTTGAATATGAATTTCCCTGATTTTTAAATGTTGGCCCTAAATACTTAAAGGTCAGGTATAGCCAGTGGGCTACCTTAAAAGTTGTAATTTAGTTATCACTGTACTGTGCACTGTCGTATGCCAGGAACTTAGCATATAGTTCCTTGTCACAGAAGTTTTACACATTTGACACTGAGAGGTAGAAGTTCCCAGACTTTCTCAATTTATAGCATCCATATTGTCTCATTAACTTCTTATGGTGTCCCTAAGTCAAAAGAAATTCCTTATAGTCTGTATATTAAATAGTTAAGTCCAAATAATTTAAAAAGTATTTTTATTTTAATTTGGTTGTAGCCATTTGAAAAGTTCTACATATAAAGTGAAAGGAAAAAATTATTTTATTTGTATACAACCATAATTAGTTAACACTATTGGAATATGTACACCTGTTACTGTATAGCTCCCCAAAGGTTGGAATCAGATTGGGTAGCAATAGCCTCATTTTCTGTTCCACATTGATTTTTGCATAATACTTGCTTTTTATTGCAACTGCTGAAAACCCAGCTTCGCAAAAATAAACCATCAGGAGAGGAATGTAGTGCAATCTAATGTTGAAACCATGAACTACCTCAAGCTGATAGTGCACTCAGTGTCTGGCAGGTAGGTGCTCAGTGTTGGTTGGTGTTTCCCTCATAAATTACAAGTCCTATAGAGCCCCTGTGAATTTGCTGGGGTGCCTTGGCATACTGTTTGGGAACCAAAGAGTTTAAATATTTGTATCCATAGTATCACATGTGGAAGGAGAACTAAGCTGAAAATCAGAACATTTGAATTCCAATCCAAACTCAAAGCAATTAGCCAAGGTAGTCCTTTTAACTTGTCTAAGACATGTTTGTTCATCTGTGAAAGTAAGGTAATGTTGCTTTCCCTATTTTTCTCAAATTGTTACTAGAATCAAAACAAAATTGTATATAGACATGTTCTGGAGACAGAAATTCTGTGTAATTGTAGGATGATAAGTCATAATTGGAAAGGTACATGATAGAATGAGGTGACAATATTATTTAACAGTTGTGCGAAAGGTATAAATAATAGTTCAGAAGAGAGTGGTGGTTAGGAATAACTCTCTTGGGCTGTTTCAGGCCCTGAATGGGAGGAGGATTTGGATAGGTGTGGGTGGGAATTGGGAAGGGAAGCATGATCTAGAAGGCACAAAATAAGAGAAGAGGAAAAAATAAGTGAGAGAAATGTTTCATTTGGAAGATGTCATGTGACCATGCATGGGAGGTGAACTTTAAGGAAGATTAAATTGGTGATCATCTGAAAAAGATCGCCTTGCCATTTCCTTGCAATTCTACAAGTCATGTAATTACCTCTTTTAGGTCCTTGGGAGCCATTGATGGTCTTGAGTGAAGGGTGATTTGGAAAGATTATTTTCAGTTCACTGTCTTTTCCTAACTGTACTGTGTATTTCACTGTAACTATCTATATAAGTAGATGGTATAAGTATAGATGAAGTTCACTGATAAACTATGTTTAAATTTTTTATTCTCTCCTTTTAGCATTGATCACATTAAATTATGGTTTGAGTCACCTGCCTGGTCTATTACAGATCAGCTTTGTTAAGTTTATAGATTTTAAGAATTCTGTAGAATAAAATTTTTGTAAGCCATTATGTGCCACAGACTGGCAATTGGGAAATAGTTATTTAGAAGAAAAGAGATCAACTCATCTGTTATTGACTGAGGATAGAAAGAGCTCCCAAATACTGTAGCTCATAATGATCTGATAGCTGACGCAAAGAGAAAACTTCTGATCAGCTTGTTTCCCAGCCAGTGTTCTGTGTTCTAATGGATGCAAAGCTAAGAAGCTATGGATTGAATTAAAATGTACACTGTGGAAGTTTTTATTAGTAAAACACTTCCATTTATTGTCTACTTTTACTTTGCATTGGACCCTGTTGTAAGTATGGTACTTACATCACAACAATTTTGCAAGGCAAGTATAAAGTTCAGAAACCTAACTGCTTTTCCCAAAGCTGTACAAAGCCAGTTTTTCTACAAAGCCAAGCTTTAAGGATGGTCTGTTTTCCAAGACCTGCTTGCTTTCTGCTGTACCATGTGCTTAGAAATTAAAACAGGGTAAAGGAGTATACAGTATTGTTTGGTGGTTCCTACACCTGGATCATCAACCTGAGAAGTATCTAAAAATAGCTCTCCTACTCCATTCTCAAGATTTTGATGGAGCAGATCTAGCTAGGTCCTGCGAATCTGTACATTTAAAAATTCAGGTAATGGTTAATCATGAAAGTTTGTGACCCCTGATCTTGTTAATGAAGAGATGAGACACTTAAAGCAATTTCTAAGAATGATGTGCAATGCATCAGTAGTTTGAGGTGACTGATAATCCTAGGAAAGACCTGGGAGGTCCATTACAGCAGACATGGGCCACAGGTGACTCTTAGGCATTTGAAATGCAGCTGTTCCAAATTGAGATACACTGTGAGGATAAAATACACTTGATTTAAAAGGCTTAGGACAAAGTATTTGTAAAATTGCTTATTAGTAATTTTTTATATTGATTTACATGTTGAAATAATATTTGGGGTACATTTTAAGTAAGCATTGAAATTAGTTTCATCTGTTTCTTTTTACCTTTTTAACATGGGTACTGGAACATTAAAAATACACATGGCTTGCATTATATTTCTTTTGGCCTATCTAGAAGGAAGGCTTTGTGGAGGACGTGAGGGTAGACCAAAGCTCTCCTCAGAACAATTAAAAGGAATTCTATACCAGAACAGATGTGGGTGAGAGTAAAGGAACATGGAAGATACACTCAAAGGACTCCACAGAATGGTCTCTTTAGAATGGAGGGAGGGATTCATAATAGGAACACTGGCCATAAGGTCTAGATGTATACTACATGTTATGCCTTAGCCATATTCTGAGATCTTTTCAGATAACCCCAGTTGATTCTTGCAGCAGTCTTATGAGATAGGTACTCTTGTTGATCATTTACCCATAAGGAAAGGAAAGGTAATATAACTTGCCCATAAGCACACAGCTAGCAAATAGGGAAGACAGGATTCACTTCAGGCATTCTGCTGACTCCAGGTCCGTGTTTTAACTCACAGTTAGCTGCACAAAGATGGTTTGGTCATCCATTTTATTAGCCCTAATGTCCTTCACTGCTGTATGGTGTCTATAGCCTTAGAGGAAGGAATGAAAAGAGCCCATGTTTCTTCATTCTAGTAAAAAAGATTTTATAAGATTTACCTTAGTAATAAAACTCTTAGAAGAAAACATAGGCAAAAATCTCTTGAATATAAACATGACCAACTTTTTCCTGAACACACCTCCTCAGGCAAGGGCAACAAAATAAAAAATGAACAAATGGGACTACATCATGCTAAAAAGCTTCTGTGCAGCAAAGGACACCATCAGTAGAACAAAAAGGCATCCTACAGTATGGGAGAATATATTTGTAAATGACATATACGACAAGGGGTTAATATCCAAAATACGTAAATAACTCACATGCCTAAACACCCAAAAAGCAAATAACCCTATTAAAAAATGGGCGGAGGATATGAACAGACACTTCTTCAAAGAAGAAATTCAGATGGCCAACAGGCATTTGAAAAGATGCTCCACATCGCTAATTATCAGGGAAATGCAAATTAAAACCACAATAAAATAACATCTCACACCAGTTAGGATGGCCAACATAGAAAAGAACAGGAACAACAAATGCTGGCAAGGATGCAGAGAAAGGGGAACCCTCCTACACTGCTGGTGGGAATGTAAACTAGTTCAACCATTGTGGAAAGTAATATGGAGGTTCCTCAAACTAAAAATAGAAATACCATTTGACCCGGAAATTCCACTCCTAGGAATTTACCCTAAGAAAGCAGGATTCCAGTTTTAAAAAGACATGCACCCCTATGTTTATTGCAGTACTATTTACAATAGCCAAGAAATGGAAGCAACCTAAGTGTCCTTCAGTAGGTGAATGGATAAAAAAGATGTGGTACATATACACAATGAAGTATTATTCAACGATAAGAGAACAAATCCTACCATTTGCAACAAAATGGATGGAGCTAGAGGGTATTATGCCCAGTGTAATCCAGGCAGAGAAAGACAAGTACCAAGGGATTTCACTCATCTGTAGACCATAAGAACAAAGCACAAACTGAAGGACAAAACAGCAGCAGACTCAGAGAACCCAAGAATGGACTAACAGTTGCCAAGGGGAAAGGGACTGGGGAGGGAGGGAGAAGGGGAATAAGGGCCTTATGATTAGCACACATAACCTGGGGTCGGGACACGGGGAAGTCAGTATAGCACAGAGAAGACAAGTAGTGACTCTATAGCATCTTATGCTGATGGACAGTAACTATAATGGGGTATGTGATGGGGACTTGATAATGGGGGGAATCTAGTAACCACAATGTTGCCCGTGTGATTGTATATTAATGATACCAAATTTTTTTTTAATGCAAAGACAAAAATAATATACCCTAGTATTAAAGGTATAATATACCTTAGTATTATTAACCGTTCATATTCCTAGTTTGAATAGTTTTTAAAACTAAACATAATAAGACTAATGATTGTAATTAAGTGCTAATTGTGCAGAGATTTGGTCTTTGGGGTGGAAATCTTTTTTCTTTCAACTCAGCATTTGTAAAGACCAGCAGAGTGCCGGGCACAGGACTAGAAGGGGATTCAGTGATGAGTCTGACACATTTCCTTCCTTCAGGAGCTCGTTAGTAAGCCATTTATGTATGACATACCTGTTGAAATACTCTGAAGTAATTTATTTCACTTATTTAAACTTTCAGCCAGTAAAGAAGAAGAAAATCAAGCGTGAAATAAAGATTTTGGAGAATTTGCGAGGTGGTCCCAATATCATCACACTGGCAGACATTGTAAAAGACCCTGTGGTGAGTACAGAATGTGCTAGCAAGGCCCACAAGGGCTGAGGTGGTGTTTGACCCAGAACGCAACTGGCCTCTTTCTGTCCACCCCTCCACCACCACCACTATGTCCTGCTTTAAAAGTGCTTAATCAGTTAAACCATTTAACTAGCTTGGGTCTTTCTTTCAAAGAGACCTCCACCCACAGACTATTTCTTATTCTTCTAGGGTAAGAGACTGATAGCACTGGAAACTGAAATGTGTTAATCCATTTTGCAAACTCAGGTCCGATGCCGATGGGCGATGGGCGCATTGTCGGGCTGCCTAGAGCCTGGTGAGACTTCAGCTCCATGTCTTCTGTTTGAAATCCATCCCAAAAATAACCTAAGTGTGGTGATCAGAGCGGGGAGGGCTTTAAGCAATAGAGGGTTTCCTACTACTGAGGCAAGGACTACCAAATTCACCACATAGCATCTGCAAACCTTGTGCCCACTAAAGCTGCCCAGAGCTATTGCTAATGTGTGCTTTCTTTTTTCTTTCTCCTAGTCACGAACCCCTGCCTTGGTTTTTGAACATGTAAACAACACAGACTTCAAGGTATAATATATAACCAATCATTTCAATCTTTTGGGTTTTAGACCACACAGAAAGCATTCTAGGGGTGTTACTGTTGGAAGAACTTCCCTCTAGCTTACTGAGAAAGAGCTTTTCATCCCTACAGTGTTAATTTTTTAAATACAAAAATTCCCCTACAAGCAGGGCCCACTTTCCATATCTTGGTATTTTACCCCTTTTTTTTTATGCTCTTTTTAATAACCAATACATTTACTTCTCAACACCTTTACCATTCATTAAGCAGTTTCTGCTCGTGTCAAGCCTATTGAAAGCAGCAGCACAAGTTCAAAGACCCTAGGGAATTCCACTTAGAACAACTGTTTTCAAAAAAGAATATCATGTATGTAAAAGTAAGGACTACTTAAACCTCAAATTCTGGGCTATCGATCTTAAAAAGGCATGGATAGGAAAGAGTGCTTTAAATTCTTCTATAGTACAGACCTCAACAAACCTCTACAACAGATACCTCTGACTTCTAGCCCATCCACTGGTCTACTTATTTCAAACAGTTCTCAATTATAGTACAAAAGAAGAATGTGGGCATTCTTGAGTTACAAGTTCTGAAGGTATTTGACTTGCCTTTGCACCAGTTCAGTATCAAGAATGTTAAAATGTCAATAAGTGGGCGAATTATTTTGCTGAGAAGAGGAAAAGAAGAGCTATTTTAGAATCAAGACAGTAACTTCAAAGAAAGCTGTCAGGGGACATCATTAACCATTTAATGATATGTGCACGTGGAAAAAAGTCTGCCACCCTTTGGAAACGGGAAAGGAGGATGCCTAACAGTTCAGAGTTTACTTTCAGGCTGAGACAGGAATACTGCTGTAAATTGGCTCGACAGATTTGGCAGCAAGCCATCTGCACACCCACTGGCAACCTGCAGTGCCTGTAACTGTATAAGCCAAAGATGGAAATGTTTATTTGTGCATGTTGTGTATATAAATTGTTGTGTTCCCAATAGTATATTATATCTTCAGCAATACAAGTTTATGTAGTTCTTCACTTTTACATAGAGAGTTAAAAGACCCAAAGTATCTCTTTAAAGTAAGTGTTGGAGAAATAGAAACCAGTGAACAGATGCCTCAGACCAATGACAAAAGAGCCAAGTCTCGGTTTGAATTACTACAAAGATGAGAAATTGCCTTCCTATCAGCATTATGTTGAGGTTCAAATGTTGCATTTGTCTTTAACAGCAATTGTACCAGACGTTAACAGACTATGACATTCGATTTTACATGTATGAGATTCTGAAGGTAAGGGAACTTAGCATACTAAATACTTTTAGATTGATCTTCTCTTTGTTAAATGGTCTGATTAACTGTAGTAAAGCGAGTGAATTAACTTGGTAAAGTATGTTGAAAGTGGGGTCTCTTCATAAAAGTTTTTAATAAGAGTATTGGAATCCTTTTGCTGATGTAAGGATTATGGAATAGATTCTAGTAAGAATATAATTTAGAATGCTTTAGAAAGGGTATTTAGAAGAGAGCTGTGACCCTTTAATAAGTATTTGTAATTTTCATCTTGCTCCTATGAAAGATACAATTATCAAAATTTACCGAAATAACTCCTGATGTCCTCACTTACAGTGTATTTTCTTTTACTTAAAATTCTACAAAATTCTACAAATAAAATAGTAAACTACTCAGCTCTCAAAGGGTCATTTTCCTAAGGATTATGTAAATCTCTGCTTAGAGATGCTGATTTTGAGTAGACTGATTTCTAAAATGGGATCCCTAAAAATCTTGCTCCTAGTAGTCATAAGATCAGCTTTATAGATGAGAAAATTGCCAATGATTGGCTAAAGTTCCTTAATGAATTAGGTTGACCTAAAACCCCTATTTGAACTTTAGTAGTACCCTAAAGAGACTGTGCCAGCAAAGATATTTGAGCTTTCCAGTGGTTCATGCAGTCTTGTGGCAAGCAGGATTTCACAAAGTTAAGGATACGCTTGCCTAGCCCTAGGAACGGAGGAACCCAAGTTGCCCTTCAGGAAGGACAAGAACTTGGTCAATGACATCAGCTGACTTAAAGGCTGCTGGAATAGGCAAACTCCAAAGGTTATACCACTCAGTTCATCTTAAGATTGAGATTGGCCATGGTTTTCAAATTTGATTTGATGTCATAAATCAGGAGTTGGCATACTTCTTTACAGGGACAGGCAGTAAAATTTTTGGCTTTGTGTGCCACAGGGTCTTGTACTACTTACTTTACTGTTGTTTAAGATATAGGTGTGGCTGTGTTCCAGTAGAACATTATTCACAAAAATAGGCAGCAGGCCATATTTGACCTGTGGGCCATTGTTGTAGATTTTTAGCTTTTAAAGAGTCAGTGGTCTTTGAATAAGAGGTTTGTTAGACCAGTTTTCTTTTGAGGGTCCTATGTTTGTGAAGATAATCCAGGTTTTGGATGAGGAGGAGAAATTGGAAGTGATGCAGTTGTATACACTTAGGGTCTTTTTTAACAGAAAGGATGTTGAAACTGCTACAGAGGAACAGTACTTGAAGTTCAGAGGTCAGGAGTTTGCTTGGCTGTGGGATCTTGAACCAGACTCTGAAGCATAGCTTTGGGGGTGGTTGTCTTAATGCTGAATCCCAGGGATATTGTAAGATTAGAAGGAAAACTATGGAGGGAAAAGTAAAGGACGTTTAACTAAAAAATTAAGTTAAACAGACTCTCTACTGTCTTGTTCTTCCACAGGCCCTGGATTATTGTCATAGCATGGGAATTATGCACAGAGATGTGAAACCCCATAATGTCATGATTGATCATGAGCACAGAAAGGTAAAGTGATAGACTGACAAGTCTTATTTATCAACATGATGAAATTAACATCCCATCTTCAACACTTGTATCTCTAGCATCTGTCACAGTCCTTGGTACTTCTTAGGCATTTGATAAATATTTGGTGAATTAATGAACAAATCAGGGTTTTTAAAACATTATTCATATTCCTAATAATATTAAGAAAGAAACAAATTAGTGTAGTGTGTGAAACATTAGTTTTGGCCAGGGAACCTGGCTTCTAGTTTAATTTATTGAATAACTAGTTTCTTGGGAAACTCTTTCTCCTCATTTGCTTCCTTTGTCTTACCTGTACAACACATACAATATTTGCCCTGTATGCCACTAGGTTATTGTGATGATTGTAAGTATACACAGTTATGAGTGATACAGATGAAATATTCAGAAAATGCTTCTGCTTATTATTTATTAGCAAGTGTCACGAGGCCCTTGAACTCTGTAAGTGCTTTTAATGAAAACTGCATTGACAGTGTACTTTGTAACACTTCATTTTTTTAAGGTGATCAAGCTGACCTTTTGTAGGCAGGGATAGCTATCTGTTGAAAACTTTGGGGATGTAAATTGTTTTGTTCATTCAACTAATCTTTTTTAAGGCACACATTATATAATTAGGTATTGTTCTAGAGTCTGGGGATATACGCATGAGACAAAGATTTTTAAAAATTCTCGCCCATAAGGAGCTTGCATTTGGGGGAGTCTGGTGAGATAGAAAGTTAAAAACGATGTGGAAGAAAAATCGGGAATAGGGAGTGGCAGAGGGTGTTGCAGGTTTTTAAACAAGGTTATAAAGGGAGGGTTTCATTGGACAGGTGACATTTTGAGAAAACACTTAAATGGAACTGACTGTGCAATCTCAAAAAGAAGTGTGTCCCAGATAGAGGAAACTGCAGATACAAAGGCCCTTACGCAAGAATGTGTCTTGCATGTTGGAACAGCAGCAAGAATAAAGCTGGAATAGAATGAACACTGGGGAGAGAGGAAAGGTGATATCACAGAGGGAAAGAGAACCAGATCATATAAAACCTTAAAGATCATTATCAGGCCTTTTCCTTAAAGATGCAGAGGTTTTTGCAGGGTTT